TCTGGCCGAACGGGTGGCCACGGGCATGCAGTTGCTACTCAAAGCCAACCTCATGTACATGCATTCTTTGTCAGTGCCGACGTGGGAAATGCTCTTTGGGCTGCTGGGTCAAGTGGGGCAGTACCCCGCGGGGTGGTCGGCTACCCTCGAAGCCATCCGGCAACTGCATCAAGATGGAGGCGTGCCCAAGGAATTGATTGGGCTCTGGACAGGTACAAATCCGTTTTCATATATATTTTTAGGCCAACTTGGCGATTATATCGACTATATTGTGCGTACCCTTACTGTAGCACCGTGTGTTTTCTATTCTTTATGTATTGGAAGAACCCATATATCTTGGCTATACCACCCATATATATATATATATATATATTGGCAATGATAACTTGGCGATATTGTCGTCGAGTATTGGTCGTTCAATGTATTTTTTTATCGGTGATATATAAGACTGGGTAGCGTTTGTCGTTTCGAGTGAAATGTTGGTGTTTGCGGTTGATTTAATTGAAAATCGGCAAACACGAATCGTACAAAGCCACTATCGAATATATGGGGAGATGATTCGTGAACCTCCTGGTTTTATCGGAATATATGATTGGTCCATTGAATATTTATTATCGAGTGTTTTGATTGGTCCATCGATTCCCAGTCGACTCGTTCGATGGACCCCACTCTATACTTCGATGTATATTATTGGTATATCTACTGTGTTGTGCTGAGTTGTTCAGTTTAGCGAACGAATCGGGCTAATCTATTATCGTCTATTACAGGCGTGTGCATGAGACTGATCAACCAGCGCACCGGTGTCGAAGGCGATGCCCTCAAGCTGCTGTACGCCGTGGCCAACAGCGAGGCCGCCGAGGGCAGCTGGATCGACCTCATGCGCATATTGCTGTCATATCTCCAGGACGAGCGGCCAGCGGTGGCCAAGATGGCGTGGGACTGCCTCTACCGGAGTCTGATGGTGCCAGGCGTGAAGATTGCGTCGACGGTGTGGAAGGATTGCTTTGAGGAGATTATCTACACCCTGGACGACCGATCTCGGTGAGATTTCTAACTGTGTCCATTATGCTCTAGTCATATCTGTGCCCTCTTGTTTATATGATGGTATTTTACCCATGGGAATGTTTTGACTAATTGTAACGTTAGGTATGTGTATACCTACCTACGTACAATACCTCGCTGCCACAAGTGTGGATTGAATTGGATGTTCACTACATATAATATATATATATATATATATATATATGTGTATGGTCTCGTTGGATTGATTCACTACAAAGTTGTTGATAAAGTTTTGATATTTGATTCTTTAATGAATACTACTTACTCGTCGTATTCATAGTTTTGATATTGTCCTTTTACCTAAAAGTTGGTTGACTTTTGTCATGAATCGACAAAGGAAAATAATAAAATAATTTTTAATTAATTATTTTTTATTTAAAAAATTATTTATTTTAAATAAATTAAAAAAATGTATCGTCGATCGATTCTTTGAATTTTGTATATAAAAAGGAGTCCTGTGAAAATGATGTGTATATCACACGAATCGAAGTTACACACTAATTTGACTTTGAAGATAGTTTCCTGCATTCTAATTGGCTAAATATGTCCTTCTGCCGATGATTCTTGTGTACATTGAGTTGTGTCGATGCATTAATCTCCATGTCGCTCCAGTTTAGAAGAAACACCTTAACTATATAGTATTGTGCTTTCGAGTGAATTTTCATTGTATTGTGGCTTCTCGTTGGATTTGATTGGCTACCTCATATGAGCTCAAAATTATTAGCCAATCAAAACCTTCTCAAAGAAATTCAACCACCAATCAGATCGATTGTGGATCGGTTTGGTCGGCACGATTCGATTGATTGCACCCCGTCCCCAAATTTGTACTATCAAATCGACAATATTGATATCCATTCCTTCAATGAACACTACTTACTCGTTGTGTATCTTGTATGTGGTCATTCTATTTCTACTACTTACTTTCCCCTTCAATAGCCATCGTTTTTTCATATATTTCTCGTGTGTGTTGTGTTTACTAGTTGTATCCTTCATTGTACACACACTATTACTTGAAATCTATTGCGAATAATATATCCGGACAACAATGTGTAGCCACGGCACATCCAAGGATACGCGGGACATGAGCTTATACAGCACAACGTTGCTCTCCAAGGTATTTTTATACAATATCCACACGTTGGCCGAGCTGGACTGCTTCGCCGACCTCTGGCTCAACGTGCTCGCGCGCCTCTCGACCAAACTCAAGCAGCAGCAGACGCATCCTCCCCACCAAGACCTTGAAGTGTACGAGACGACGTTGCATTCGCTGCACAACTTGCTCGTGGTTATGACCGCCGAGGGCGTGTTTGACCAGCACTCTACCCTCCTCAGCCAATCGCACGACGTGATTCGGTCGATTTGCCCCCATGTGATGGCTACATTGGACACCAACGACGGTACGGCTGAGGCGACAGCGGAAGATCAACCCGAAGTGGCTGCGTCAAAGCCGACGTGTGGATAGAATAGCTCGCCAAAGTCGTTGTGGCGATGGATCGATCGATACATGTAATAAAGCAGACAAGGGGAACCAGTAGTGCTACGATATACAGTAGGAGTATGTGCTTGCTATCAATGTAGTTGTTAACCTTGCAGCAAACTATTCCCCGATTAATACAGTTCCGCTGTGGTTTTGACCTGAATTACTAAAAAAAGGGATTATAATAGACAGATTTCGGAACACGTTCCCATGCATTTGCCGTCAATTTACCTCGTTAAAATTTATCGAGTTTACGGGAACTGTCAAAATTTATGTGGGATGCCGTAGAAACGCCACTTGTACGGCAAAGGTCATCCCTCCTCTAGGGCTTCATCATTGGTCTTAAATCGTGGATTTCAACCAGTCGCGCATAATGCACACTTCTTCACCCTTCCATGCCCGACGTGGCCTGGTGTCCAGCCTTTTCCACGCTAAGTTAGGCCATTGCGAGAGTTCAGGTGGAGCGATTACGTGCATCTTATCTTGTCTTATTCATTCAGCCAGTTATCCTGAACCTTCTCCAGCAGTCGGCATTATTGCCTTGGTTCGTTGTCCTGCCACGACGATTTGAATATGGGGCCTCGGTGTTTTTCGCCTATAGGCACATGAAGCGTACAGAAAACTCACAATTCTCATCCGCATGTGCACATAAGGGACATGGTCGAGTACTCAGTTGCTCCCCTCTAATCATGAACTAAAATCACCAAGCGGTTTCGTAAGGTGTCGTAAAGCCACTCCCTTGCTCAACGTGGCACGCAAAAACTGGGATCATAGTGATAGTAAAGTTGTGGACCCATGAGGTGTGTGCCAAGACCCCTTCGTGATGCCAGTTGTGGTAATGGGTCCACATGAGTAAGCTTATGCAATGCAACAACAGGGAACTATGTGCGGTGTGGATTCGCCACCACACATGCAAGCATACGGATATCGTTCCTCATGCGGATGTGGTAAATGCAAATAAGTTTTGTCGAAATCATGAGTTGGGTCTGCCATATATTTCCCGTGCATTAAAATTTCCGTGCGTGGGAAGTCTACGGCAGTGCTTCCGAAATCTGTCTAATAATACCATCCGGAAACACTTTACTACTACAGTACGAAAGTAACTTCCTATTAACCCGGTTCGGAACCAAAGTACAAGTCAAGTATACATAAGAAATATCTCGATTAAATTATGTAAATCTGCCGATGAGAATTTTTCTCATGCGCAAGTTCACTGTCAACCTAAGCATAACAATATACTCAGAATCGGTATTAATATTCCAGCCTTCGTCCCGATCAGAAATATTCTCATTGGCACAGCCAATAGAATGGCGGGATTTGGGTTACCTTGTCATGATTGGCTATTTTGATCTGAACTCAATATAAATACTATGATTTAATTAGTTAATCCTGCCAATGAGAATACTTCATTGGGAATCTCGTCCATCCTAGCAGGTTAATACTTCGAAGTACAGTGTACAGTACCTGGGACTCCGTCCTACACCAGGTAATACGGTATGTACTTATAATGCAAAATCCCCTATTAGTACAGGAGGTGGTCAGAGGTTACGAAATCCCATATAAGTACCATTTCCTGAGAAAAGAAACAGTGCGACTGTATTAATCGGGGAATTGTAGGCGCACAGCACAAGGTCCAGATGAATGCGCAAATGTGGATGGTTGGCAAGTTGAGGTTGGGATGGTTGCGTAGTACTATAATAGTATATAGTAGTCCCTGAGTACTACAGTAAGTACTACTTTATGGATTAGTACCCTGGTATATCGTCTACGAAGAAGTTGCCTTCCACTGGAATGTAACTGAGCTGAATAACGGCACGAAAAAAAAAAATTGCTGTCAGATAGTTTGTCGCGGCATGTTGCATAAAGTACCTAGTATACTGAAATAAGCACGAAATGGACAATTGACGACATTCGAACTATAAATAGTACCAGCGAACATGACTGCACGAAAACCCCGATTAGTTTTGTTGTCACCTATACACACTAACCACGTTAGCTACTACTAGCGTACTTGTAGTAGTTTGGTAACATAAATAGTCACCGCCTCGTTCATTCATTATTCCTGGGTATTCCACGTTTGCAGGTTACCAGGCCAGATAATTCTTCGTTGCGGGTGATATTGTCCTTTTCGCTGAAATATGGACTTGGCAGAATCGATTTGAGACCTTGATCAATGTCTGGTATACAAACGTTAATGAAGAACGTTTCGATTGGGCCAAACTATTTTAGGCCAAACGATTGGCTGGAATTTCAACTTAGTGATGCTTGATTGGCTAGGACAGTTTAAAATACAGTTGCCAATTGCAACTACTCCGAAGTCCAGATTGGAACGGATTTGACAATAAAAGTGTGAAGCCCTCAGTTCAGGTTGTGTCCCCACGATGGTTTGACGCTCGCCTAAAACAATCCACAGTTCATCACTCCTACCACTGGTGCCCTCCGCGGCGCCCAATTTCCTCGTGCACAAGTATAAACACTAGAATGGAGTTAACCGTTACGCACTTACTTCATTTATGCACCAGCTCAGCCGTGTTTACTTTACATCAGTTTACGTTAGCCAGCTATAACCGTTAATTTCGCAGTCGGTTCAGACGAGCAAGATTAGAAGTAGCATCAGCATCGTCACCAGCAATAACGATCCCGTACATTGTATCCCCCTGGGTACGTGGTCTCCAAGGTGCTTGGCTTGAGGGTGGGCATCAAGGGTGTGTAGATCTCCACATCCCACGCAATGTCAAGAGCTGTTTCCATTGTTATCGCAAACGTATTTGCTGTCACCACATCGATAGCTCGCGGGCACAAAGGTACAGAAGGTACATAATCAACCATGGCAATGCTATGTCGTACGTTAGGTCTAGGGTAACAGCTACTGCATGGGGCCCGGATAACATCCGGACACCAACTCCCATTGGTCAGTTCCAATCTTCGAAAGGACTCTTGGAAGACATCTGACAGCAAGACGTATTCGCTGTAGCTTAGGGATAGCTAGTTCACTCAGTTAACAATTTTCCTTGTTCTACGCACCCTCTCCGTGTACAAGTAAAAGTAGTAAGTACCCCCTCCCCATCGTTTTCATCTACTAGTACGCCACTACCAGGTACAGTAGTCATTCCGTGGTGATCAAGAATCATGACATACTTCTATTCGGCAGGATCTTTGTCAACTTGAAGGCATGGGTCTCACGACCGCGAGTACTCGACGACAATGAATACTTGCGCACAGCCAGTACCCCAGCGGAAGGAACAAGCTAAGTTCGAGCGGGTTCGTAGGAGAATGGAGTTTCCTGGAGTATTAATACAACGAATTCAAGTCCAATTTGCAAACCACGAAACCAGAATAACTTACAAGGACCTGCGTTATTGAAACTCATACTAGTACTCCACTGGATACCACGTTGAACACAGTGGATGTATTGTATATATATAGCCCTAAATTCGGTAAACCGTCCACTTTGAGATCGAACTCAAACCTGGCGCAAGGCCATCGAAAGGCAGGGACTTGTGGCCATACTGTGATGGCGAAGAATCTCTCCCAATACATCGAACGCATGTAGCTATCTATATGTACAGTTATCCCCTTCAAGTATGCCCTGTTCGTGTGGAGAGATTAATTCCTCCAAGGTGTACATATAAAAAAAAATACGTATACCCCCTACTGCTGACCCAAAATACCTACTGTGGGGGAATTCCTTGGATAAGACGACATCCCATCAACACAAACACAAAAGAAAAACATGTAACGTGGAAGTGGGTCCTATCCTGGGGGCACATCCTTTGAAGTACTGGTATAACGTTATTCCCCGGGCTAAGTGCATAACGAGTGGTTTGCTATCACTAACCACGGAGTTACCTCACGTTAACCCCTACCTGATATGGGGTGGTGCTGTTTTCGAAATAGTACTAGGTAGTAACTCATATCATTATACTTATTTGTGCAAACTTTGTGCGTTTTGATTGGCTGTTATGCGTTTTCTCAAAATCCCCCGTCAGAGTGTTCACCCGATTGCAATTCGAGGTCGAAATAACATGGACAATTGTAATACATTTATTAGTAGTAGCTACATTCCACCACCAGTGCGCTCGATCGTCGGTGGTTTCGATGGCCATTTGTTTCTTGCCGTGGCAGTTTCATTATTTGACGGCATGTACCTTCTCGAGAAAGGACTCGGGCACACATTGTCCTGAAAATTTGGATTCCATCGATCGATTTTTTTGTACTGAATTTTGTATGTCTAAAATTGACCAGTTTAGATACGAACCACACTATTTGAAGTTTCAGACTATTTATATGACTTGTCGGTTTTCTTGCAATATGATTGGCTCAATTCTGCTGCACATTTGGATCTGCCGACTCACTCATTCGGCATGTCTGGAATAAACACTACAATATGAGGGGCGAAACCAGCGAGACAATGGAGAATTCGAACTCGACTATGTGCCATCTGCGATGTGGCGAGGAGGATTGGCGGCGGCAGAACTTTATAACTAATGGGGGCCCTAGTTTAAAGGGTTTGCATTCGCCATTGACTGTAAGATCTACACGCATGTAGGCATATATCTTCAATAGGGTGGTTAGCACAATAAATTCGTTGGGGGGGGCGAGCGTTAGCACAGGGGGCCCACCTCACCGCCAGCAAAATCTTATGTAGGAGATGGCTGCAATTGGGTATACGAGAAATATTTATGATGGAATTAGTGGTCAATAATGTTCGATCTTGGATTACGTGAATCCCCCATCCCCCAACGAAACTACATGTCGAAGAAAGGCGAGATCACATCACTGTACGCACGAGGTACATGCACAATACGGAGGACACGCCAGGCTTTACAGGCAGTACATATATATATATGTCTACGGTAGGTCCTTGGTACATACTTATATGGCGGCCGTGTTGCAGCGGAAAGAGGAATAAATCCATGCCTCCAACACAATGTTTGGTCTGCAGAGTGTACTATTTGTAGTAGGTAGTACCTATGAAACACACGCGTTGGTACTATACTATTAATAGTACTACTATAGAGAAAAGCAAAACAAACAATGGTACTAATACGTATAGCAAATGACATACTTAGACGTACTGGGGTGTTCACAGTTAACAGTAAGTAGCCTTCGTTGACAATGAACATCCCACTCTGTCCAGCTCGTCGACGCTGAACTTGACAATGAGCTATGAACAGGTACCACGTGGTACATACCACCTTCGAAACCTCCTGCAACTACAGTACATACTGCATAGCTTCATCATTCCAAACCACTACCTACTTGCACGCAGCGGCAGTATCTTCACTTTCCAATCTTGCTGCTCCTTCCCAGTACTAGCCTAGTCTCACCATGCTGCAAGAGTGCCACGGGACCACCACACCTCCTCGTGCCACCACACCGTCAACATTTGGCCTGCACATTCAAGTTCCAGTGGTCCACCACGAGCCCAACCATTTCCAACGGATGCTGTACCCGCCGTCGTCATCGTCCACCGACTCGAGCTCGGACGACGGCGAGTCGCCAGCTTCGAGGGAGATGGCGCCGTTCCTGAGAAATCTGCGCAACATGCTGGACGTGGAGAGTACCGAGGTGCTACGCTGGAACAAGGACGGGTCGGCGTTCGAAATCCACGACATGGACGAGCTCACGCGCACGATCCTGCCCAAGTACTTTAAGCACAACAAGTACACGAGCTTTCAGCGCCAGCTCAACTACTTCCACTTCAAAAAGTGGACGAAAAGCCGCGCCAACGTGTGCACGTTCTCCAACGAGTTTTTCCTGCGCGACGACGTGGACAAGAGCTTGTGGATCACGCGCAAAAAAGGACTCAACAGTCGGTCCGCGACGTTTGACGACATGGTGACCACCCCCCGGACCGCGGCTGTCATGGTCGCTGAGGGCTTTGACCCGCGAGACATGCGCCGCCCGCCGCCGGACGAGTTTATGATGCAGGAAGATTTGGAGTGGCTTGCAAACTTGGAAAGCGTGCCTCTCTCCAACTTGAAGGGGGACCCCGCCGCCCTCGACTGGATACAGCCCACGCCCTACCCTGATATGTGGGTTGTGAACGTGTGAAAAACGAGGTCCAGTGGCTAATCGGGTTTAATTTATTCTTCGGGTCGAATTGTCCATCGTGTTCTTCTGATTGTTCGCATTCGTGCCCACGTGGTGGCATCACCTATAGTACCACAGAGCCAATCCACACGCTATTATTAGTGACAGTAAGCCTAAATATATTGGATTTGTGAGCTGATTGGCCAAATCATCATGGATCCGTTATTTGTAGTGAATCTTGGATTCGAAGTCACACAAACTGTACTGTAGTTCGATAGTTGCACGAGTTTGATTGGCCATTAGATTCGTGTTCTGGGGTTTCATGTCTGCCGATTTGGTGCTGCTGCTCCATCGATTGAGCGGTAGCACCCCACTACATATTCGAATCGAATTGACAATACTAGTACGAAGCTTAGTAATTAGTAGTATTGAGTACTCGGGTGTGACTACAATAAAGGATGACCGAGTAATGAGCCTGAATGTGGAGCTTGCATGAATACAAGTAGGGGGTTACAGGTACTTTAGCATTGGCCACTGAAAAACAGTTCACATGGGGAAGTGTTGTTCAACAGCAAACAAGCACGCAAGCGACAAGGAGGTGTTCTTTTTCTGTCCACCAGTACCGGTCCGTACTTGTAGACACTCGTAAGACGACGGTAGTATCCTTCCCAGTGTTCAACTTATCACAACTTCAAAATATCACGCCCCATATGCATCATGTTGTGGCTGCATCAAAACCAACGACGTTTTTCGTTGAGGGGCAAGAACATTCCAAATAGATTTCATTTCTGGATGATTAGCGTCCTTTCGTTGTACACTGTACAAATGTTGGGCCACCTCCTCTTGCAGGTACTGTACACTACTACGTAGTATGTACCAACCCTCAGTACAGTATGTACCAACTTTCAGCACCGTGAGCAGCGAATCGGTAGATACGATAGAGCGGGCCGTGGGATGGCGTGACAGACTGTCGACAGAAAAAGGTAGGCATGGATTGGCAAACTCGTACCGTAAGCCTGAGTCGATTAATATCTAGGTTACAGCACCCGAGTTAGATGCTGACCTGTGTGCACATAAAAACAGAAGCAAGGGGTGTCCAATGGTTCTACAAGTTAGTGTGGACAATTCACACGATAAATGAATGACCCCAACTTCGCATTGGAAGCTATGCGTGGCGGAACCAGATCAACGAGATCTTCCTTGAAAGAAGGCACACAGTCAATACAATTTCTCAGGCCTGTGGTCAATCGTGGATTAACTAACGATCCTTTTAGTGTGACTGTTAGTCATTTGGAAACTACTATTAGTACTGTATTACTAGTACGTACTAGTACTTCATAGTAGTACTAGTAGGTGCCAGTACTACACCCTACTAGTATGTACTAACGTTGATAGTGTTCATGTCAACAAGAAAAACTATGTACAGTATTAATAGTATGAAATACGAGTGCGCCATGGCACAATGTCTTAAGTAATGACCTGCCTTCGTGAAAAACCACTCCGTGACCTGTATGACGTGGCGGCAGGAAACTGCAATTTGTAGCATTGCCGTACCCTGTTTCTCCAAATGTTGGAGACTCATCGATAAGATGCACAGGAATTGCACTAACGTTAACAATAACGTTAGTACGATACATACTTATAGTACTATCAATGCTGTAGTACGTACTGTGTTGTACTTCGAAGTACAGTACTGTAGTACTGTACCAGGACGTATTAAATAGTGTGGGGTGATATGCAATCGTTGACAGTACTATTAATATCAGTAAATTAGTAGTAGTACTTTCAATTCTACAGTAGTAGTATGAACATAAATACGAAGTATTTTATTTTATTATTACTACTACGTAGTATTTCGAAGTACTACACTTCGAAGTACTTCGAAGTACTAGTATTCCATACCGGTACTGCTGTACTACCACTACAGTACTGTACTGTAGTATTATGGAATACTACATACTACTACAGTAGAAGTACGTAGGATAGTACTGTACCGAACTGCATGTAACAGAAGACGAGTCAGAACACTAAAATTTGCACTTAAATTTGCCCATTTACACTGTACACGTGTCTATAATAGTACTACTCAACTACGTATTGTACTCCGAGTGCTGTGTAGCATTATTTACAGTTAGTACCGATCTGCCTACTATTAATAGTACTAGTATACTTCTTCTACTATAGTTGTAAGTACTGTCGATTTTCATCAAATTTCCCATTTTTTCTTGATTCTTTCAACCATCGCGCCAAGAATCTGATTGGCTAATATCCATTCGACTTTCGGTGGAAAAAGCGAAAATGATTGTAGCCAATCAACGATAAGAAATTTCAGATTACTTTTAGATAATATTCTCATTTCAGCCAATAAAATAGCTTCACTTAAAGCTTGACATTGGGTCGTGCAATTCGTTTGATATCACATAATTTCAATCATCCGTGCGGATATACCCAATCATCGAATTTATCCCACTGCATCCACTTGCATCCCAAACAATAATTGTTCACGTCATCATGGTGACCAGCCTTCAGCGTGCTTTTACCAGAACCGTACCCTTTCCCCCCGGAGACTTCGTCTCCACCCCCGGCCGGATAAGGTACGTCTACAGTAATGTTATGCCCGGGGTTAGCGCGTGTAAGTTGTAATTATCTTGAATTTGTATAGAAGGAAGCTAGAACCATAATATGTACTAGTATTAATTTTACGAATTATATATATATTGTCCTGTTCGCTGAAATTTGGACTTCAAGAATCGATTGGAGTCGGATTTGAATCGCGTTCAATGTATGGTTTATTGTGCTTTCGAGTGAAATTTCGTATTGTGGCGTGGTTTGTCGTTGGAATTTAAATCGATTTGATTGGCTACCTCATATGAACTCAAAATTATTAGCCAATCAAAACCTTCTAAATGTAATTTAACCAATCATATCGATTGTGCGGTTTGGTCGGCGCGATTCCATTGCACCCCCTCCCCAAATTTGTATGAAATCGACAATATAAATTTAGAAATTTTGACTGCTGGGCCACCAACCTATTCTGATTAACGATTGGTTGAAATTTCACGCTAGTGCACTTTGAGTGGTGAGGAGAATCTTAGGCCGAGTCTGGATACCACAGAAAGTTTGATGTCAAATAATATTCTGACAGAGACCCCTTTTCAAATGGGAGGTGAGAAAATATTTGGAAAATATTTTGATATGACCTCGGGATGCCATCATGGAATGAGAACTATTGCTGGCACTGGATTTGATGAACGTTCGCCTGGAGTATTTAGAACGCATGGGCAATCTGTGTGGATTACTCGAGTCATACAGTGCAGATACTATTAATAGTACTGTACTAGAACTACTTTGGGAAATCTTTTTAAATACAGATTCTCTCCACTTAATATTTGTATGTACCTGAATGTTCGCCTGCATTTGTTGCCAAACAGAGGTACTGTAGTACTGTAGGTAAGTTGCCATTGAAACCTCTGATACTATTAATAGTATACAACTACTACTCTGGTGAAATAGTAGTACTACTATGGTCCACGTCATCTATAAACTACCAACTTTTCACAAAATTTTCTGACTTCTATTTCATATTCATTACTCAAATTTTCAGCAAATTGAGACGTAGAATCGACAGATCTCAATGTGGTGAAGAAATTCTACGTCTCATATTCAAATTTGGTGATGAATTGGTCCAGAAATAGATATTTA